GAGAGAGAGAGAGAGAGATACATTACATATTACATATTTGAAACCAAAAATAAATAACACCATAGAAAAAGATTCATTACAATTCTTAAAAATGCTACCTACACACAAAAATAAAGGTTCCAGTCTAGCACAATTCGCAAAAGTATGAAAAATGGTTTCTCTCTCAGTGCAAAAAGGACAACCAGCATCAATCTCAGGATTTATGATCGAAGTAAAAGCATTGACAGCTACAGCACCATTAAGGATTCTCCACTGTAAATCACCTGTTTTTTTAGTCAACGGTGGTTTATATAGTGCTCTCCACTCAGGCTTTTTATCCATATTCAACTTAAAAAAAACACGACATGGAGTATCAATTTTCTTATTTAACATTTTTTTGTTAAAATTAATCACACAACACACATACAAAACTTTCCCAGTGCTCGAAAAAAAATCTACACACATGGAATCAACAACTTCAAAAAAGACTCCGGAAACCCCTTCTAGATTCAAAGAAAAAACCAAACAGGGAAAAGAGTCTTTAGGATTTGGGTTGCAGAGGCCATCACCATGCTCAGTCAGCAGAGTCCTTTCTGTTGCATTAAGAGTTGTTGACCATTTCACCAATATCTGTGCAGCCAGACGCGTTGATCTAAATCCCAAACTTTGAGCTGTTGCCTCCTCATTCTTAAAATCAGATCCAGCTATTTCCAATAACTGTCCCAAATTGGTGATTTTTCTATTAATGAGTGTCCTGCTAAGTCCTGGGAAAAGTCCACTGGCAGACAAATCCAGACGTGCTCCAAAAATTAAAGGCTCTTCCAGTAGCCAATGAAGAGATGGTGAGCCCTCTACTTTTTTAAAAAAGAAGAGACTCCAAACCTTAAAAATGTTTTTGTATAACACTGGCAGGCTAGAGGTATTCAGTGTCAATGGGTCCATTAGAAAAAGAGTCTTATCCAGTCCCAAACTCTCAAGGTTGTGTAAAATCACATATGCTACAGCACACCATTTAAAATCAACTGAACCACCTAGTAGTTTCTGTACAAACTGCAACCGAAAGGTTGCTATCCTACTTTGAAGATGTATTAACCCATGTCCACCCTCTTCTTTTGGCAAGAATAACACATTCTGTGGGACCCAATGCAATTTATCCCAAAAGTAATCTACCAAGATAGCCTGGATTTTAGCTAACAGTTGTGAGGGAGGGTCAACACAGGCAAACCTGTGCCACAATGAAGATGCAACCAAATTATTTATAATTAAAATACGACCTCTGTATGACATCTTTGGCACTAAACATTTCCATTTATTTAGACGACCTTTAACTTTTTCAATGACCCCTTCCCAATTTTTCTGTACTGTTGACTCATCACCCAAAAACACTCCCAAGTATTTAAAACCAAATTTTCCCCAACTTAAACCCTCGGGAAGTTCTAGCTTCCCATCTGCCCACTCACCTAACAATAAAGTTTCACTTTTACTCCAGTTTACCCTCGCAGAAGATAAACCTTTAAAAGTACTAAGTAATCTTAACAAGACCTGAATATCACTTTGCCTGCTAATCATGACTATAACATCATCGG